AATCATGGTTAGGAACGAACGTAACCAAATCATTTGTGATTTATAAAATAACAATTTTAATAATTCCTAATCTGAGACGTTTAATTGGTCTCATAGTATAATATATATATATATATATATATATGATTTAAATATCAGAATTGAATTGTATAATATTTTTCTAGGGTTTTTAAGGAAAATGCATTATAATCTAATAATTTATGATTTGTATATAAATAAATTCTTTTCCTTCTATTATATATTTAATGTGTACTTGATTTTTGCTTCATTGATTCATTTTTAGAGAAGAAAAAAGTTTAGATGGTTATGATGACTCATTATATTATTTCAATATCTGGTGCATTCATCATAATCTAATAGACTATTAAGTAAAAAGTGTGCCAATAAAGCAACTATCTCCATTGTTTTCTTCGTATTCTTCAAAAGCTCTTGCATTTTAAGAAATGTAATTTCTTTTCCCATTACATAACTTAATTAAGGAATTATATTTTCTACTTCGTTACTTTTAAGAATTTATAGTAAAAATTTAATATTCTTTTATTAATTTTGAATTGAAAAAACCTATGATTATTTTATAAAATATCTGAATAACTTTTCTAAAATCTAATATCATAACTGGAAACAATTCATTATTATTATTTTATGGACATTCTTCTATGAACCATCGAGATACGATGATGCTCTGAGTAAATTTATTTTCAAAAATACTGTTTTACCGTAATTATTGATCAGAGTCCTTTATATACCGGTTATATATCGGATATTTATCCAGAGCAGTCTTTCATTAAGTGCTCTGTAATCACCACACAAGTCTCTACTCTCAAGTCTTTCTTGGATATCAAGTGTAATGCTGATCTCAAATAGCTGTTTGAAAGAATATTCAATATATATAGGCACTCTTGCGATTTTCAGATTGAAGTAGTTAATCTGCATGGTTTCAACGCAATTGATTGATTACAAGCATATTCAATGTGTATTTTACTGTTACCTTGATTTACTTTTAAAAAATCCGAAATTACTAGAAAATTATTATCTTCTTTCCAATTATATTGATTTTTAAATATATTATAGAAGATGAAATTCTAAACAACTTTTTCAAGATATTTGAAAAAAAAATTGTTATTATTACATAAAATTTCATTATATATATACTTATGCGACATATGTATTCATAAACATGATCAATATTTATTATAAATATATTATGATTAACAATAATTAAGATGTATAATCAGTGAAAAAAGTATTTTTTCATAAATTATAAATAAAATATTTTAATTTTAATCCATTTTAGACATTCTGTAGAATTCACATTATTATTAATATTCATCCATAGAAAATTCGAATATTCTACGAATCCGAAAGATATTAAATATCATGATATTAGTTCGCTTGTTATTTTGGATGCTATTGTAATATATTTATATAAACAGTTGATAAGTAGCTATTGTGTATGCTAATATATACTTTGTTTCTAAATTCTAAGTAACTAAGACTGATTACCTGTTGAGAAAAAGTTATTTAAAATTACACTTTTTATAATATAACATTTTTAAAAATCAGAAGAGATGTCTGCAATTTTACCAAGATCTGGATATTTTTTTAGTAATCTTTATGCACGGGATGACGTATCTTATTGATATCTAATGTCTTGCGACTGATAAACTGATTTTATTATCCAATAATTGTCGCTTGTTGACATTCATAAAAAAAAATTTACTCCAATGGCAAGATGCGTAACATCAACTATTATTATATTCCATTGGATTTAATTTTATCTTTAATTTTAAAAATTAATTAAGCCTTAAATTTAAATTTATCTTTTTTATTATCCATATTTTTAAATAACATCGATTTCTCTGTCGATTAAGCATTTGTCACGATACGATCTATTATAAATAAGCGGCTAGATTCAGTTGAAAATTTGATGCGGTGAAAATTTTTAAATTTAGAGAATTCATCATCTTGTAACTTTATCTCCGAATCAGTAAATTCCAACAAATTCTATCCTTGGGTATAATCTACCACGACTTATTACTTCACTATTTTGGAATTGTTGTAACGTATCTCCCAAAGTCGGATTAAGCTTGAATAACATATTAATATAATTATAATATATAATTAATCTAAATGTTTGATAGTTTGATAACTTTATCTATTTTAATAATAAGCTTTGATAATAACTTGCAATTATATCTGAAACGCATAATTGAAATATCATCTGTTTGAAGATAAATGAAATTAAATTTTCTCTTAAAAACTTTGTCTCACAAATTTTGAAGTCTTTTAGATTCAAAAATTTTAAATCTAGAAGATTCAGAACTTGTCTCTATGTGATATCTTATATTTTTTTGTCAAAAACTTAATTAGCAAAAAATTTCAAATGAATAATTTTTTGTCATCAAGTAATAATAATATATTATCTTTATTATTTTCTCTATTTTGATATGAATCGAAATGATTGAAATGATTGATTCTATTCTTAGATTTAAAATTTCCGTAATACTAAAATTTTTTGAATCAAAATTTATAATGAATTTTTTATTTTTTTTTTTTTTACTTTTTTTTTTAATATATTTTTTGCATTTTTATTAAACTTTTTTTTTTAATAATCTCTTCTTGCTTCTAATAATTTTTTTTTGTTTCCAAATAATACCTTTTCAAAAAATTGATATTATTCATTTTTTTATTTTCTTTTATTTTAAAATATAGTTTTATTTAAATTAGTTTAATTATTGGTACTATTAAATATTTTCTTTAAGATATTATATAAGTTAAATAATATACTTAAAAGTACTTAAAAATAATATACTTAAAAATTACTCTATTTTTTATAGAGATATCAATAACATCAAGTCATCATCATTTCAAATCATCATCAATAATAAATTCATTTTCATTTTTGTTATTTAATCTTAGTTATAAATTTAGATTCATCTTATTAGATTCATCTTAGTTATAAATTTATAGATTCATTAAAAGTAACATTGCATTTTTTAAAATGAATCATAAATATTGATAAATATTTCAAGGGAAATAAAGACTGTATTTTGTGTACAATAAGAAAAAAGATAGTATTATCTCTATAGAATTTTCATAATTGTCAATTAATAAAAACAAACAATTATTTATTGATAATTGAATTATTTTTTAATATATCGTAAAATTTCTAAAAATAGTTTTAAATTTTTTCAGCATTTTGTTTCATTATTGATTTATTTTCTATTATTTTTTTAGCATCTTGTTATTGTTATATATAATGTTGTTATTGTTATATATAATTATAAAAAAATTCAAAATTAAGATTTTATTAATTTTTCCATAATTATAATTGCATTTAAATAAAGAAATAATTTTGTACATAAAGAAATAATTTTTTCTCGAACTCTCTCTTCTGATATTTCACTTTTTTTTACGATATTAGCTCATCTCTTTTAAATTTAAAAAAGTAGTTAATTATCGAGTATAACGCATATAGTGCACTTCAATTCATATATGCTATTATGATATAGATTGTACAAAATTATATAAAAACATAGAAATGTTCAATTATTATATCGATTATAAATATGTAAATAATTATAAAAATTTTCGTTTCTTTTTGTATTATTTTCGAATAATTTTCGTATAAATTGTAAATTTAATAACTATTTTTGAATAAACATATTGTTTCTATATATAATAAACACTAAAAAACATACAATAATTATTGCATTATTTTTTTACAAAAAATTATTTTCAAAAACTGAATATACAAATATTTGTTTAATACATTTATCCCGTATATGTGTCTCAAATTTTTTATGTAACATTTTATTTCTATTACGAATTTTTATAAAATGTTTGTATTATCTAATAATAATTTTTTTTCATAAATTATAAAATAGATCATATTAATATAATAATAAAATATTATATAGTAATAAATTTTATTTCAGTATGAATTATCATAAGTTGTTATTATATCTTCTTCGAAATTGTTTCCATATTATTAAAACATGTTATATAGTACCAAACAGCGAATATATATAATATATATAACTTATTAAATATATATAATAATTATATATAATATATATAACTTATTAAAAATATTATAAAAAATATTATAAAAATATAAAAATATATATGTAACATTGTTAAACAATAAGATTAAAGAATGACATTTTTCCTGAAATATAATGAATATATGTTATTAATCAATAATCAGTAAATATCAAAGAAAATTAAAAAATATTTGAAAATATTTGTATCTTAATATGAAATAAAATATATTGATATACCAAATATACCAAACAATAATATTAATTTTAAAAGATAAAGAAATATAACGAAAAAGTATGAGATTGAAAAGACATTTCAAAAGACAAAAAAAAGGCTGTGACAGAAAAAAATAATTATACGATGAAAATTTTAATTAATTTTATTTTCTAATTTTCTTTTTGCTTTCATGAAATTAATATAATTGAGATTTTTTCGATTAAAATGAATCTACATATAAATCAAAGTAACTACATGTAAATAATTATATATATATATAATGTATATAATATGTATATATATATATATATATATATATATATATAACATAGATTTGTTATGTATATAAATTGATTATTGATTATCGTAAATATGGAACGCAATGCGCTACTCCCTCTAAAAATTTTCAATTTTTCTCCAATGAATAATTTTTGCATGAGAAAAATACGTGACATCATATCCCCACTGCTACTTTAGGTAAAGATACGTTACGCGACACAGTGCAAGGCTAGTCACGTAACTTCTGCTTAATATGATGTTATGCATTCTTCTCATTCGGAAATTCGGCGAAGAGAATTTGCGCTATTTTTAATGCTAAAGAAGAAAGAGTCCAAATCCTGCATATATACAACAAACAAAAAGAAATTAGCTCTAGTCTTAGGTACGACAATAAACGATTTCAATTCGATATATATACTTTTTTGAGAATATTACAGAAAAAATGAAGAATAAAAAAATTATTAAATTTAATAAAATCTTTTTATTTAAATTACATTTTAGTTTATCGACAAATTATAAAAAGTATTGAATCTTAACTATTTTATATATATTTCGTTTTCTTACATAAAACTTTCTGCATTAGATATACATTTAAAGATATACAAGCGATATGTAATTCATGTTCATAAAATTCTTCAATGATGAAATTATTTTGTAAATCACTGAATAAATACGTAATCGATTTATTCTCTGTATGTTGTTAGTATTTTTTAGTAGTAAATTAGTAGTAAATAGTAGTAAATATAGTAGTAATAGTAGTAAATATTTATATGATATCACTTAGTAGTAAATATTTTTAATCTTCCAAATTTAAATGCACGAGTAATAAGTAATGCAATATAATGGCAATAATACATTTCTGTTAATATCTTCAAAAAATTATGATATTTGCGGTAATCGCAATATCACCAGAATTCTTATTTTACAAGTTTTCGATCAACATATCTTTATCGATGTTCTAAAGTCGTGTAATTTTAAACACTTTCTTTGACTTCAATTGAGCTTAAACTTGATGATATTTATTTTGAATTTTATTAAATTTATGTATGTTATTACTATTTACGGTAGATAGAAGTTATCACGAATTATATCTATAAGTCTCACTTCTATAATACGATGTTTTTTTTTATTATAATTAGATATAGTTTTACTATTTTAAAAATATATCAATCCAACGATAAATGCTGATCAATCAGTAAGATTTCTATATTGTATTGTTGAGCATGCAATTATAATATCGTAGCTATGCTTTCATAATATTATAGATAAAATAATAATAACTCATGTGTTTTGTTTTGAAAATCAGAATTGTACAATTTTTTTTCTCATATCGATTTGTAAATTGAACAAACTTTTACGCAATATTGTTATAAAAAGTTTAATCGAAAATTGATTGAATTCTTTCCGTTTTTGCTCTTGAGAGATATGATCTATGCATACTTGCTAAATACACCGAGAATATACTCTATAATTCACTATTTTGTTTTATACGATTTTTCGCCAATTATGTTCGTTTGTTGTAAATTATTAAACAATAAATCATTGTTTCAGAAAATTCATTTCATAAATGTATGTAACTCTTCTATCAATTTTCACTTTTTCTTGCTTAACTTTTTTATATGCAAACAAGTCGTGTAAGTACTTCGAACAATACGAAAAATATATCCGTACATTTTACACATTTATTAACGCGAGCTTCATTGCTGTTATCGCTTCTATTGCTATCGTTTCTTCTTCTATTTTCTTTATTTTTCTTCTTCTGGAAATTTTTTTTCTTTGCTTTGATAGACATTATGAACAATTGATGTATGTATTTCTTCCTCTTTTTTATATTTATAATTTCACGGATAATGCACAAATTTATCGTTCATTATTTTATTTTTTTTTTGTATCAATTTGATGTTGTATTTGATTATTCACAGTTTCAACCAATTTCTTATATTTATTAACGATTAACATCTTTATTCTATTTTTGAGTTTTTTATTTGATTTCGCACAATATTTCAGTTCTTAATCATGTCATAATGTTCTTTCTGTATTTTTCAGATCGCGACATATTTATTTATATTTTTCTTGAATTGATAATCTCACCATTAAACTTGTCTTCAACTTGATATTTTTCTAACTGAATCACATAAAAGTGATATCATATAAAATTTGATAATTGTATCCAACTATGAATCGTAACTGCACGATTTATCGATTTGTTTTAATTGATTTATCAATATTATCTTCAATTTTTAAAATCGAGCGATGAAGATATAGCATCGCCTAGTTTTTAATTATGTTTTAATAGTGGTATCATGATCTTATCTTTATTTGTTTTGCGTTCTATCTTCTTTCCTCTGCTCCAACAGACAAAAAGAAAATTATCACATGTGATTGCAATTTGTGATTGCGAATATGTTCTTTTTTTTTCTTGTATCCAATGATACATCAAATTCGTCGATTGATATTTCACCAATTATTATTTCAGAGAATGTCCAATAAAAATCTAGAAAATTATCTTTTTCATTGATTTCTGGATATGTTTTAGAAATCAATATTTTGAATAACTTTCTTCTATACATGCTCATAAAAATATTCAAATATTAATGCTTAAATAACATATCTTCGTTAATTATAAAAGAAATAAATTCAAACTTGTTTTTTTTAATAAAGTATTTATATAGAATATTTTACAAACATGAATAATTTATTTAATTAATTTAATTTAATATAATATTAATATATAATTACTTATAATTATTATAATATTATAATATATTAATAATTATATAATATTAATAATATATTAATATTTATTTAATTAATTTAATTTAATATAATATTAATATATTAATAATTATATAATATTAATAATATATTAATATTTATTTAATTAATTTAATTTAATATAATATTAATATATTAATAATTATTATAATAATTATTAATAATTACTAATAATTATTATAATAATTACTTATAATTATTATAATATTATAATATATTAATAATTATATAATATTAATAATATATTAATAATTTAATATATTAATTTAATATAATATTAAAAACTAAATTAAATTATAAGTATTTTTCCTATCAAAAATACATTAAAAAATATATGTATTTTTAAATTATGTATTTTTATTTTAATATAAAATTTAAAGTAACATTAAAATAATTTATAATAATAATAAAAATTTATAATAAAATAATTAAAATAGCAATTTTTTATAAAAATTAAGCATTGGTTTTGATATTTTTTTGATTTTGAGTAATCTTAAATGTAAAAATTATTTTTTATTAATAATGTATTTTATAATGTTTTAATTCTATTTTAAACAAATTTATTATTTTTTTTTTAGTATGTATTATTGTTTTCGTTCTCAATGATTCAATTGTTTGCATAAAGATGTGTAAGTATATAATATTTGTTAATTTAGTTTGTTAACTTAAATTTGCAATATATTGAATATTTTTACAAAAATAAAAATGCATTTTTTTTCGATTTCTCTTGTATTCAAATAATATTTAGTACATTTTTGAAAGTTCTATATGCAATATTATAAAAGTTATTACATATGATTTTCTAAAAACCTATTGTTTAAATTTTAGAAAATAAGCCAAAAAAAACTACAATACAAGTATAATGAGATATATTGAAAATTTAAATTAACAAACTTAATTAATTAATAAAGATATAAATTATTAAAATTAAGCATTATATTAATGTTCGAATATTTTTATAAACAATTGTATATATATCATCATTCTTAGTTTTCGAAATATTTGCAAAAAAAGATTACTTTAACTTATTATATAAGATTATTATATAGAATTTCTCTTATATGTATATTGTATATCCTATACTGTATATATCCATATATGTATAAGCATGCATTTACTATTTATCTAATGTTTCTATTCTAAACACATTGCAACAGGCAACTAAGGTATATAATGAGTGAACTAGTAAAAAATCTATTTTTACCAATTATGAGGAACTCCAATCTATATCATGCTTAAGAAAATTATCATGATTATTGTTTTATACAAATTGAGTCAATATTGAAATAAAAATAACTTATTAAAATAATAATCATTGTTGACATTGATTGAAAAAATACCTATCTTAATCAATAATTCCGAAGATATTATTTAATAAGTTTTCTTTGGATTCACAAAATGCGGAAATAAAATATAAAATAATGTTATGCAAAATTACAATGATTGAAGTTACAACAATATCAAATCAAATATAAGGAAGAAAGTGCGTTGAATATAATAAATATTTTTTATCGTTTGTGATAAAAAATTATATCATGAACAATGAATAAATTATAACTTTTTTCGATATATGTTTGTACTCGATGGTATATAACCAATATCGTCGCGGATTGAAATTATGCGCTCCATGATTGACCAATGTTTTTAATTAATAATTTATTAACAAAGCCATAACAAAAATTTGCAATTCGTTCAAATTTTTTTACAAAGGAAAATATTGCTTGAAATTATCTCAGAAATCTATTTAACGGATGTTTCCACATTTTTGAGACATTTTGTATAAACAATTATAAATGGCAATTGCTACACACTTTATCATAAAAATATAAGTATAGGTGAAATTCTATGTAACAATAGCAATTTTTTTGCGAATATCTCGAAAATTAAAAACAAGTAGTAATAATATGCAAAGAAAAAATTTGTGCAAAGAATCACAATTCCAATAACATTGAAAAATCATAATTCCAAATAGATAATCATTCTTCCAAATAATTATTTTTACTGATAAATATAATATATTTTTACTATTTTCTTTATCATTGAATTACACAATTGGCTGATTCTAATGCAATCGTCTCTTTATAGAAACAATTTGTTATTAAATTTGTTTAATAAGTTTTGTTACTATTAATAAAAATATTATTGTATTATATTAATTATTATACTATTATTACATGTATTATAATATATACTATTCTATATATATAATATATACTACTATACTGTTATTACATGTATTATATATACTACTCTATATATAAAACGATAATAATCTATTTCAAAAATAATTTTTTAGAAAGATTGAAAGATAATCGATTGAACATTAAAATTAAATAAATAATAATAAATATAATATAATATAATATAATAATAAATAAACAAGTGAAAAATACACTGAAAATTGTAAGATATATTATCTTCTTGAGTAGGAATGTAGAATAGATATAATATAAAGTTAAGAAGATTAATCGTACAGCTTGGCTTCATATTAAATACTTGATTTTATTTATGAAATCATAAATTAGTTATTTATACCGAAAAATTTCGATCGATTAAAAGAAAGAATTAAAAATTGTTCATTCAATCAATTAAACAATTAGATATCGTTCATAGAAATTTAAAATACAATTGTGTATTCGGTAAAATGGGTAAAATTTTCAATAATTTTTTTAATAATAAAATTTATCATAAGTTAATTCTGTTTTATTATATATTCTTGATTATCTAGTATAATAAACAGAAATTTGAATTCAGAAAATAAGATATGTTAGCTCAAAATATAGTTAAATGTATATATTCGACAAATATAAAGTCAATTTTCGCAAAAGCAAATTTCATAAAAAAAAATTGTAATGTATATTTTCGATTTATTTTTTAATATAATATTTTTTAATATAATCACTCTTTTTTCAATTGTATTAATTGAATTAATACAATTTTACATTAATTATTAATTATTCCGTATTTCTTATTAATTAATTTGACTATATATATATTTGTAATCGCATTGTCATATTAAAATATGCGCTTGTTGTTTCATTACATTAAAAATTTTTATTTTTGCTAATTTTAATATCTTCAGATATTTTGTTACATCCTCTATATTTTTACCATCCTCTCACCTAATTTGAAATATATTCCATAACATCCCAAATTATTATCTCATGTTGCCTGCGAATTAAAATTTTTTCTTCTTTCAAATCCTTTCTTGCTTTCAATAATAATAAAATAAAAAATAAAAAATTTAATCTAATTTAAATTAAATAGAATCATCCAAATTAAATTTTTTTCATCAATAAAAATTTTTTTGTTCCAATACTTGATTTATATAATTTATTGCAGAAGCAAATCTAACTTTCTTATAATCTTTTTTCAAATAAGATTTTTTTTTAACATTCTTCTTTTAATAATAGATTTTTGTTTTAATCATTATTTTGGATAGACGCTAAAATATTAACTTATTCAATTTGTTTTACAATTTTAATTTGAAGATATTCGAAGAACCTCTTATTTCTAACAGATAAAGTTTCAGTTTGAATTTTTTATAATTTACCATAATTTTTTTTATTTTTTAAATAAAAAATCAGACTTATTATTTATTCTGTTGGTTATCTTCTTGTTTGAATATCTCTATTTTTTAGTACTTATATTTTCATTTATTCGAAATTAAGATGACTTTTTTTTTTATATGCATATTTCAGTTTTTTTCTTTATATATAATTCAGCACAATTTTTTCTGATATCAGCTTTGTGTTATAATAACCGATAAACAATTAATAAAAAAAATGTATAATAAAAACATATTAAAAAATATATTAGATAAAAACAATGAAAAAATAAGATTTATTCAAGTAACATAAAAACATTCATAGTAACTTTTTTTATAAAATATATTTTTATAAATAAATAATTATCTAAAATATAGTATATAATTTTTTTAAATAATATATATTATAATTGAAAAAAATAAATTAATTTGAAGTTGAATTTAAAGTATTAAAAAAAATATTATACTGAATTAAATGTAGCAGATTATAAAATCATTAATTTATTCTAAATAGATGTTGCTTTTTAATATAAAAAATATAAAAAAGAATTAGTTTTAAGTAATTTTATAAGTGATAACAATATATACATTTTATATATTTAATATAAAATCGAAGCAATTTTTTTTTAAAAAATCATTTTTATTAATAAAAATAATAAAAAATAATAAAAAGAGATATATTTTATCATAAACTATAAATTATTTTGTTTTTAAATCCAAGTTCTTATTGATTCAAAAAAAAACAATTCAATAAAGCAAAAATTTTACAGATATCAATAAAAATTAAAAAAATATAGATATTAGGTATTAAAAGAGCAACATTGATTACAATGATTAATCTTGTCAAATTATAAGAATTCATTACTAAAAATTGCAAAACATAAAAACATTAAAATTTGCAAAAATAAAAATATATAAAAAAATATTAAATATATTAAAGAAAATAAAATATGAATGAAATGGTTTTAAAATAAAATGAAATTATAAAACTTCATATTAGATAATTCCCAATAAGATAAATTATATAAAGATGATTTCATTTTATAAATGTAATTTTATCATTGAAATATTATATTTAAATATAATGTCCATTATAATAATTGCAATAAAATTTATTCTTTTTAATGGATTCTTGTTATTTTTTCTTTTATTTTGGCATAAAAAGTAGGCAGTTTCAATAATAAAATCATATTTATTGTCACAATAAAAAAGATATAGGTTTCATATTTAGTAAAAAATTTATTAATTTTTAATTGTATGAATATTATGTAAAATTATTATTATTATAGTATTTTTGAATATTAATTAAAAAATTTATAGTATATTTGAAACTATATATTTATAGTATATTTTGATTTTTAATTATTTTTTGTTGAATTTTTTATTCAAATCATCTGAAAATAAAATTATCTTTTTACTAAATTCTTCAAATTATTTAAGTGTCTTTGATACTATTTTAATATAAGATAAAAATTTATTTTACTTACATATAATTATATATAAACATCTTTTAAGAAAATAATGTTAAAAAATATTGTTACAAATGTTTGTACAAATTTGATATAAAGAAATATTATGCATTAATATTTTTTTCTGAATGATGAATCACATAAAGATCAATTTTATGTTTTTGCAATCATAATTTTTTATATATTAATCAATTCAATATTTTCTATAAAATAATAAATTATTCAAGTTAAAAAATCATTAATTTAAAAAATATTTGAAATTTATATTATTATTTATATATTGTATAAATTTATATAATTTATAAATTCATTGTAAAAAAAAAATAAATTATAAAATAAAAAATATTATATGATATTTTATTTCTTGATACTTTTTTCTATATTTTTACTAAATTGCATATTTCTAGTTTCTAACATATTCAATTTCTTGAAATATTCTATTTTAGTTAGTTTTTTATTTGTATTAGCTTTATCTCTAGTTCATATATATAGCAAAACTATTCTTTTTGTAAAATGTTTAATTAAATATTTCTTTATATATTTTAAATATTTAAATTTGACTTAACAATTTAACATAACTTGATATTTATGACAATGTATTCTGTTTTTTATTTATATAATTTTTTTAGGTGATCTTTATTCTAATTGTATAATTATTAAATTAATATATTTAATTTGATATTGTCTCGTATGCTTTACTATATATTTTAATATTTTAATGTTCTTTATATTATTTATATTATATTTAGTTTCTGTAATTCCTTTGATTTCATTGCGATCAATTTATAACTCTTTAATTACAATGTTTTTTTTTTCTATTGTGTTTATATATGATAGTTTATATTTTTCAATTGTTATATTTTATATACTATTTTATATACTATTTTATATACTAACATGTTGAAAATATTTTCTTTCAGCATCAAAAAATATTGCTTAGCATAAAATCATAGTTTAATAAAATATTACATATCATTATATTACATAAAATTATCATATATTACATTAGAATATTAATTGTCATATATATTATACTAACTGCTATTTTAATATTAATTCTATAAAATTGTATATACTAAAAATTGTATCAGTTATTCACAATCATTAGAATAGTTAATGTATTAAATAATGTGAACAGATTTTGATTGCTTATTATAAAAACTTTAATAAATTTATTATGATATTTGATATTCTTAGTCATTATCTTTTAGTAAATTTTTGTGTTTTTATAAATATTAAATAGTTTTCTATATTTCCATGAAAACTTCAAAATAATAATTTCTTATTTTTATGAGTACTACTATTATGCTATTCTAATTTCTGCATCTTCATTTATTATTTCTATTTCATTTGAGTTAGCTAATAAGTAACATTTATTAATAAATAATAATTCATTAAATGCTGTTTTTTAATTTTTATTTAAATTTTCTTAATAATGCCATGTTGAACCTATTTGAATGTGATAAATTAGATTTTAATTTTTATATTGACTAATTTTTTTTTTTTACTATTTAATTTACTTATTTACTTTTCTTCTATTTACTTCTTTTTATAATCAATTTACTTCTTTTTATAATCAATTAATGTGTATAATAAATAATTCTTTTTTAATGTTATAATGTATTTCGATATTTTTATATATGTATATCGATATTTTTTAATGTTATATGTATTTCGATAATTAAACCCAACGCAAATATGTTTTATTGTTATTATATTATTAGATTGTATGTTTGATAGATCTGTGATGTACAATGATGTCATTAAGAACTATCGTATAGGCTAATATGCAGAATTTTCCTGATTTAATGCGTTCTATTTTCTATTACTCTATTTTGATTACAACTAATAGTCAATCAGAAGTGAAAATAGAATTATTGAATCAGTAACTAAATACATCATACCATCAATTTTGGAATGTCAATTCTCAGCAAGTAAAAGCAGCATGTTTTATAAACTAACCTAACAACACATTTAAGAGGATTACCAAAAACATACTCGCAAAGAAATCAATAGCAGAATTACATTTTGCAGGATTTGAGAGAAGAATTAATATAGTCAATGAATTGATTCATATTGTAGATAAATGAAGGTCACATAATTAAATATAACATGATATGTAATAATATAACGTAAATAGAATAAATGGAAAATATGTAATGTAACATCATTTTTTTAAAAAAAAATTTTTGTGGTAACATTGATTAATAGTGATATCAAGTATGTAATCTATAAATAAATTTTTGTGTCTTTAAATTAATTTATGTTTTGCACTAACGATTAAATACTTTATTATTCTCAAATTCTTAAATTTCAAATGAAAATCCAACAATCTATATTTATATGATATAATCATTGAAAATAATAATAAAAAGTAAATAAATAATCAGAGAAATTGAAAAAAGATTCATGAGAAACAAAAAAATGTTTCATCTTGGAATTGCATCATCAATAGGTCTATATACGATATCTTTTTTTTTTAATATTCATCACTTTATCTATTCCTGTGTATTATATCTTGAAAGATTATGTTATAAATTTTATGTATAAGTATATCATAATGAATTTATGTTCTTAACGTTGTTTGAACTTGAAAGATGTTTGTTGATTGAATATTTATTGGAAATATTCTTGTATAAATTTCAATTAATATTTTATTAAAGTTTTGTTTATAATAATTTTGATTACATTTTTAATAATATTAGTAAATATATAAAAATATCTAGTTAAAATTTAGAAATTAATGAATTAAAAATTGATATATTAGAAGCATTATATGATGCAAGAAAGTATCAAGTGATGAAAATATCTTCCTGATTAAGATTGTTATTTTATCTCGTGAGTTATCTATTTGTTACTTTAATTTTTATTTACATTTTCTTAAATTCAATTTTAAAAGATTTTTTTTGAATATTTATCTTGTTTTAATTAAAATATATAATATTTTATCTATTTTGCCAAATATTAATGAATAATGAATATGATATTTATGCACATACTTTTTTTATTAACTTATTTCTTTTTATAATAATTGTCAACTATGTGACATTGATTAGAAATTAAACCAATGCTGTCAAATTTTATTAAATATATATATCATGGATATGGACTGCATTTATTCATAGATTATGCATTTATTTTTATTATATATTATTCATTGTTTATCATTCATAACTTTACAGTTTAATATAATAATTACAATACTCAAAATTGGAAATTTTGTTCATGAAATTTATTTGAAATTTATATTTAAAAAATCATAAATTAATGCGATTATATGTAAGAAAAAAAAATAAAATAATTGAAAATGGTGAGAGATTTATTTGATATAGCAACATTGAATTATTTCAATAATTTTTTAATATATTAAATAAATAAATGCATAATTCTGATTTTTTCTTTACATATAATTCGTTAGTTTTTGAATTATTCGCAAAAAATTTTCGATATTATTGAATTCTGTCTATTATTCTGAATTTTGTATAACAGTAACATTATATTTCTTTATTATTTATAATCAGATATGATATAATGAATATCATCACACTTAATATCCATTTATAGAGAAATTGATCAAAATATGAAAATAAAATATATATAATGATACAATTAAAATGATTACATGGATTGGTATCGTTCGATATTGATTCAACATTGGAATAAAAATAATTTATCAAATATTATTACTAGTATTGCTTACATCTCTTGGTACAGTTGTTATTCTTTAATTTATAATTATGTAACAAAATTCTTATCTACATTAATTATAATATATATACATAATAAGTATACAATTATATTATAACTATTCAAAATATATCCAAATCATGGTATAAACATTTGTGATTCATGTAAAAATAGATTCAAAAAAAAGATTTATATTTTATTTTTTATATTATTTTTATATTATATTTTTAAGAAAAGACTTCATTTTCAAATATAAACGAAATTGGTTAATTTCTTATTGGATGAATTTTTGATATGTAGTTCATGTGAAAGCGAGCAAAAAATTTAAAATAAAATTTTATCGTATATATTCTTGTTTTTAAAAGAATTGAGAATTATATTAAGAAATTATAATTGGCGAATTTTCAAATTCAATTTTCTTGAAAATAAATTTTTAAATGAAAAAGATTTGTTCTGTAATTTTTATTAATTTTCACATGTAGAATTATCTTTTATTGATAATTCATTTGGATTTAATTAGGAAATTAATCAATTTCATTTATGCATAAAAATTTTTCAAATTTGATTATTTTGAAAATAAAATGAAAAATGTTATTTCCGTTTTTTCGATTTATTTTTATATATAGAATCATTTCGCAATTGTTTGTACCATGATTTCGTCATAAAACATTTTGATATGTATGAATATCTTTATAAATTTAATATTTACAAAAAAGAAAACTATCTCATACGGATTTTAATATTCATAAATGTTCGTATTCATAAACGTTTTCATAATGTTTATCAATTATATATAAAAAATGTGTAAAAAATGATAAAATTGAAAGTTAATAATAAATTAAAATTAAATTTATAAATAATTATATTTATAGATAATTTCTATATTACGATTTATTTCACTTGCGTACTATCATTGATATTTACAAAAAATTCGAAGAAACTCATAAAAAAACATAAAATTTAAATTGTATTATTTTTAATTACTTATTTATCTATGAGATTAATTCGATAAAATTTAAAAATTTCCCCATTAAATTTAATGCGAAAGAAATGTACAAATACATATGTTTTGTCAAATTCTGAAATAGTTTTAAATAAGATATTTTGTAATAAAAATAGTTTTTATAAAACTTTTTTTTATAATTCAGATCCAATTTTCAGATCTAAGTATACAAAAAATAAAATAAAAAATAAAACTTTTTTTTCATGCATTATTTTTATATTTTAATTAATTTATATGAAAAAATTGTAGTCTTAATTATTATTGAATTTCTATCAAGGCATTATTTTTCTTAAAGCCTTGATTTCTCTTAAAGTTCATTATATCATTAGCATAGTTTTCTTTTGCATTAGATACTTTAACAAAAGAATAAAGTTGTCATCTTATAACAATTTTAATAATTAATTAATGAATTAAATATTTTCTTTATCGCTGTTAAAATAATTTTATTATTAAAACATAGAATAGAAAAGACCTGATTTAAAAAAAGATCATTTCTATTACCAATATTTTCATTTTTTACATTTTTTAAATTAAAAATCTAAATATAATTATTCAAGAAGTGAATAAGTTGTGCACTAGATATTTTTAAAGAATATATCTATCTATTTTGTATATTCTTAAATTTATAAATAATAATTTTTCATATGTCAACTTGTTATATTATTATTTCTGCACGAAAAACTGAAAAAATCGATAATTTGAAATTTCCGATCTTTAAGCATTAATACAAATCTATTTTTGTTAAATTATAATTATCTTTAAAGTATTGATATGAAATATTCAAAGTTATAATTTTAATATTTTATAAATAATATTTTATAATAATATTTTAATTTATTTATATATATATATATATATATATATATA